TACGTGTATTTCTGCTGTATTTTTCCCTAAAAATGCCCTTTACTTTCACTCTAAGGCTTGAAAATTAAATTCACATGCTTTACTCAAATACCACAGAGTATCAAACTTACTTACTAGGGCACTTAGAGGGTTAAATAAGGTAACATGCATCAGGCATTTAACAGTGTTCTTGGCGGTGACAAGGCAGAGTGAAGTGGTCTCCACACTGTTTTTACCGCACCAGTGTCACTGCCTGGAGCAGCCTTTCCTGGACTCAGAAACCAGAAACCCCGCGGAGCTCAGAGTGTTCAGTGAGATGAAACAGAAGCTGGGCGGTACGGTTTCATGACAGGGCTTTGGCACATCCCGAAGGACAGACATGAGCTTCAACAGTACCAGGCAACTTATCTCGATTCACCCTTAAACAGAAACACTGGTGGTCTCTCAAGATCCTGCCATCTGGGAGGCCACTTTCCAAGGGGACATAGTAGCCTGAAATGCTTTTGGGTTCTCTTGAGCCCAGTGGTTCTAAAACTTCAAGCTTACAGACACAGTTGAGAATCTGAGGGAAGCTGTGGACACTGCCCCGGAAGTGCATGAGTGCGCGTGTATGCACAGCGCTCTCACAGTCAGGAGGTGCAGCTCTAAGACGTGCGTGACATCAGCGCTCAGTCCGGAGGGGCCCGTACCTCAACACTCCACAACCGCAGGACACTAGGCTTGCCCTCCTCAGCTGGCCCTGGCCAAAAAAAACAGCCCCAGGGGCTGGCAGCTTCCTGTATCCAGGGTCTTTCCGAGGGCCCTGAGTCAGAAGGGGATGCAAGTCTGCTGCTTGAGAAACTGAAAGGTCAGGGACAAGCATCCACGAGTTTCAAACTCAAGTCAGCAAGTAAAAAATAAATAAAAAGGGCTGAGGATCAATCTTGTGCAAAAGTCCTGGATTCAATTTCCAGTACAAAAGAAAAGAGAAAGAGAGGGAGGGAGAGAGGGAGACAAATTTGTTCAATTTACTACAAGTTGTAGGTCAAACCCTGAGCTGTTGGGTCAACTCAGAGACAATGCTTTGTACTTTTACCACATAAATAAGTGCTCTTACACCAAGCCCAGGCACAAAATTATATATAATGGCTAATTAGGTAGCTGTTGTATTTTTGTTTTTGACAGAACTGGGGATTAAACCCAGGGCCTTCACACTGGGCTACAATCCCACCCCTTTTTAAAATTTTAAGGCAGGGTTTGGTGAATCATTAGATTACCCAGGCTGGGCTTGAACTGGTAATCCTCCTACCTCAGCCTCCTTGAGTGCTGGGATTACAGCTGAGTGCTGGTAACTGAATTCCAACATGTGGGAGATGGCTCAGAGTTGTGTTGCCCTAATGATGAGTGATGGTGAGCACCTCCCATGTGCACCGTTGGCCATTTGCATGCTTTCCTTGGGAAGATACCTATTTAAGTCTTGCCCATTTTAAAATGAAGTTACCTGTCTTCTCCTACTGCGTTGTGTAAGTTTCGGTATTAGCCGTTTATCTAGGTATTTCTCTCATTTTGACAGCTGTATTTCATTTTCCTATTTCCTTTGCTGTGCAGATACTTTTTAGTTAAACGTAGTCTCTTTTGTTTAGTATTTTCTTTTGTTGCCTGTGCTTTTGCTGTCATAGCCAAAGAAAAACATTATTATTGAGACCAATGCAACGGAGCTTTCCCATGTTTTCTTCTAGGAATCATATGGCTCCAGGGCTTACATTTAAATTTTTAATTCATTCTCAGTTGATGTTTTTGTATATAAGGACCCAATTCATTTCTTACACATAGGTATCCAGTTTTCTCCCTTATTGAGGAGATTATCCTTTGTCCATTGTGCATTCTTGACAACTCTGTCAGAGAGCAGTTAACCATATAACTGTGAGTTGGTTTCTGGACTTCCTATTCTGTCCCATTGCCTATTATTATGCTAATATCATACCATTTTGATTAGCTTTGTAACTTAAAATGAGGCACTCTAATGCCTCCAGCTTTGTTGTTGTTACTCAAGATTGCTTTCGTCATTCTGAGTCTTTTACATAGTTTCATATGAACTTTAGGATCACTTTTTATTTCTATGAGAAATGCCGCTGGAATTTTGATAGAGAGGGCATTAAATCTGCAGACTATTTTGGGTAGTGTAGACATTCTGACCATATTAATTCTGTTGAGCAGATCTTTAAATGGCTGCATGTGCACTCAGCCTCCTTTCAGAGGAGCTGTCTTCATGGCTGGCTCCCCTCAAGGAGCCCTTTGGGGTGCTTGCCAGGTCAGAGCAGTTGGCAGTTTTTCTGGCGGAGAAATAACAGTGGGATTCGCTGCATGTGGGGCCCTCTTTGCTCAGATGAGCAGGAAAATGACTGGAGAAATGAGCTGGCCCACTCCTTGCTACCAGGCATTATGTCCCTGCGGCAGAAAGGTGGCTCTTCTACATAATGTTAGTACTTGCAGAAAAGACTCAATCAAGGGAGAAGCTAAATGGACCTGCAGTCCCCAGGATTTAGTTCCAGATCATGTTTTAGTTATCTGAGGGCCCTGAACAGAATTTTTGAGACTTGGCAGAGAGCAGAGGAGCTGTCTCTTGATTTCTCTGTGGCCCCCACAATGTGTGAAAGGTCTGCAGGAGCAGGAACAGAATGGAAAATGCACAGCGGCCTGAGACAGGCTTCAGACACTGGCTCTTCTACGTCCCGTGTCACTACGGGCAATTAGCAGCTCTGGAATTCTTCGGTCCGTGGATGCGGCCACACATCCCGGGTCTTTAGTCAGCGTTTGCTGCCTTCCTGCTGGAGGCTGAGCACTGAGCTGTAGGGAGAGAGAACTGCGAGACCGACCCGAGGCTAAGGCTTCTTCACTGTCCTTACCACAGGGGATAAGACGCATCTCCAGGAGTCTTAGATCCTCCTGAGTATTTCAGCAAATCCTTCTTTGGCAAACAAAGCAAAGGTGTTCACCTGGAAGCCCCAACTCATGCAAAACATTCACAGTTAAATGAGAGGAGAAAGTAATACTATCTTTTAATAGACAAGGAAGCTGCTGCTCACAGTGTGAGGTGCCTCACCCACATCTGCCTTACTCCGCTGTGTCCTGGATGCCTCCACCCACTCACCTACCACCACCTCCTGGCTCCGCATCTACAAAACCTCTCTGCTCTCAGGCTCTGCCCTTGTTGCTTTGAAGACTCAAGGAAAGGTAAAATGCAAGCACTGAGAAGGAGGCAACAGAGGTAGGAAGGGGAAGCACGGAGCTCTACTTGGGCCATTCTCCAGGCAGAGGGTCTCCTTCCTATGCCTGACTCTCCGATAACATCACATAGTCCCTTTCCACTCAGCTGCAAGACAGGCCACATTCCCTTGAGGCTACCTATTTCCACACCAGCCACAGCCTCTGCTTGCACCAGGCACCCATCGAAGCCCACGTGCCCTCTCCTGGCTCCAGGCCCCCCCCACACCCTTCCTGAGGCCCGCAGTGCCTGCTTTGGGCACCATCTCCCACGCCCTTCCAGCCTTGGTTCCTTTCCCCTCACCGCAGACAACTGTCACGCTACTGCCCAGACCTGCAAGCTGTTGTCTGAAACTTTGGCCCTGGTAAGTTCCCAGTGTCCAGTTCATAGGACCTCTATAAACACTTGCTGAATAAATGTACAGATGAAAAGGACTTTTCCTGACCTCAACAGGCATTTATACTGAGCTGCACTGTTCCTGTATAGTGCTGAGGACAGAAAATAACAAGTCTTCCTCCCCCACAGTCCTTAGAGTTTATTTTTATTTTTATTTTTTTTTTTTATTTTTTATCGGTACCAGGGATCGAACTCACGACGCCTCCTTGCAAGGCAGGTGCTTATACCGCTGAGCTAAATCCCCAGCCCCAGTCCTTAGAGTTTAGGGACAAAAACAACATGGAACTAGGTGTGATGGCATGCTCCTGTAATCCCAGCACTCTGGGAGGCTGAGGCATGAGGATTACAAATTCAAGCTCAGACTTAGGCAACTTAGTGAATCAGTGAGACCCTATCTCAAGATAAACAAATTTAAAAAGACTGGGGATGCAGCTCGTTGAAAAAGGCCTAGGTTCAACTCCCAGTGCCAAAAAAAAAAAAAAAAAAAAAAAAAGCAATACAGATCTGACAATCTCTTTAGCTTGTCCCCAGGGGTCTTCAGCATCCCTGTGACAATTCTAGCTATGGAAAAGACCCCGGTAGGTGTAGACCATCTGGGCCCTGCAGTCTTTGATTCTGATACTTTTAGCAGTTACATACACAGATGCCTGAGTGGGTGAGAAATCTCTACATAGCCTATACTCTCAATTTGGCAATGTAAAAAAAAAAAAAAATTACTGGATTTACAGATAAACAGGAGTGCTTTAGATGAAAAGCTAATTAGCATGTTACCTTGGATCTAAAATTACTAATTTATGCCATATGCATTTAGATAGCAGAAAACTACAAGCAATACTCATGAAGTCATAAACTTCCAGACCAGCCATTCCCACTCTATGAATTACAATTTGTTTCTAAACAGAAGGGGCCAGCATCGCACCCTCTCAGCAGCCTACCGGACTACATTAATTTCTTTGGGCTGGTTTTGCTTCTGTTGGCTTCTCTAATACAGCATTAAAGTGAGATCTCCCAGTATGTACCCTGGTCTTTGTGGAAATGGATTTAAAGTAAATACATGAGAGAAAAGCAGCCATCACACCCAAAGTTGCTAAGAACTCCTGTGTATGATTGTATCTGCTGAAGAAATCCATTAAGCCGCAGAGGGAACTGTCTTTCTGATGCTATAAAGAAACTGCCTGTAAATGGAATCATGACTGTGAAATTGCATTGCGCTGTTACATAACATCTTAAAAGAACCATCCTGACTTTTTTTCATGGGACCAAATCTCCTTCCTAATTTCATTTGAGCCTAGTTATTTTCTTTCTTCAAACAGGAAAAAAAGGCTTTTAGACAAACATTATGATGCTATGGTAGCACAGTATGAATAGCATCACTACCCACCTGGCTTAATTTCTTTTTTCTGCTTGCATCTCTTCAAATTTTCCACTCTTGACTCATCAATGTGGAAATTCTAAGGAAGTAGAAGAAAAACAGCGCTTAGAGCCACTCATACTTTACATTGTAAAATGAAACCATCTTTTGGGAAAACAAGTTAACAATATCTGAGAACATATTAAGCGTGCGCATCCTCTGAGTCAGCCGACATTCAGGAATTCATAGCATGGATTACATTCATGTGAGCGAAAGGATAGGCGGGGGATTTGTGTAGCCTCAAAAAATGGGGAAAATGACATAAACATCTGCTAACAGGGAATGAGCTGAATTATAGTGTATTAGAATGAGAAACTGTACAGCTGTCTCAAAGAATGAAGATTTCACTGTATTGACATAAAAAATGCACATACTTGGTTGATAAAAAGTGTATTGTAACGTAGTATCTGCCTGGCAAATGTGAGGTCCTAAGTTCTATTCCTGGTACCCCCCAAATAACAACAACAACAAAAACAACAAAACTATATTGTAAGCTGGGCATGGAAATGCTTGCCTGTAATTCCAGCAGGTTGGGAGGCCACGACAGGAGACTGTCAAGCTGGAACGCAGCCCAGGCAACTTAGTGACAGAGAGGGACCGTCTCAAAAAAAAAAACTTTAAAGAGCTGGGGAAGTAGCTCAATGCAAAGATTGTGGGCTTGTTCCTCAGTACAGCCAGAAAAATAAAGTGGATTATATAATTGCACATATTATTGCTCTAATAAAGATAGTCATAAGATTGTTTTTCTTATGAAAAAGTACAGCATTTATAAACATATTCATTTAAAATTTTAAAGTGCACAGAAAAAGGCAAACAGTAAATGACAAGAATGGTTTTCTTTGAGACTCAAACTGGAAAAAGGAAAGCAAAGACTGTAGAGTACCTATTTCTGTTTTGATTGAGAACTTTTAAAGAAGTATATGTAACTTTAACAACTACCAAACATATTGTCTATGTAAAACTTCACATCAAGTTCAAATATCAAGAGCAGGGGAAAAAAGACATTTTCAAACAAAGACTGAGCAAGTTCACCACTCACAGACCCTAGGGACATTCTCCAAAAGAAAGGAAACTGGGCTGCGCTCTGGGGATGTAACTCAGGGGTAGACTGCTTGCTTAGCACATACAAGGTCCTGGATTTAATTCCCAGCACTGCCAAAACAAAGACGAGGAGGAGGAGGAGGAGGAGGAGGAGGAGGAGGAGGAGGAGGAGGAGGAAGAGGAGAAAGAAGGAGGAGGGTCAGCAGCAGCAAAACCAAGGATAGCATAGGAGCAGGACCAGGACAGACATGGGGAAGGGAGGGGGAGACGAGGGGAAGGAGAAGGAGAGGGAGGGCAGGAGGAGGAGAGGGGGAAGGGGACGGGAGGAAGAAACAAAATACAGAAAATATGTGAGATTTTATAATCAGTACGGAGAAAAGACATTAGTAAGCATACTAGTAAATTTTTTAAGTACTAATTGAATAAAGCAAAGCTAATGGGTGATAAAAGTAAATCTGACAACATTATTTGATAATAACACGGAGGCGGGAAAAAAGATCAGTTCTCTGCTGAAGCTGGGCATGGTGGTACACGCCTGTAATCTCAGCTGGGTGGGAGGCTGAGGCCGGCCTGGAAAACTTACTGAAATTCTATCTTGAAATAAAAAGGGCCAAGGATATATAGTTCAGTGATATAACAGTTGCCTAGTATGTGCAAGATTCTGGATTCAATCCTTAGTACTATGAACAACAATAAAAAAGGACCTGTTTAAGTTCCTCGATGATTCAGGAAAAACAAATACTGCTTTACTTTAAATAATATACCCATGATACATACTACAGTATTAAAGATTAAAAACAAAAAAGTAGAAATAGAGTGCATAAGTGTCAAATCACCACGTTCTCTAGAAAAGACTATCAAGGCTGGGGATGCAGCTCAGTGGCAGAGTACTTGGCTAGCATGCACAAGGGCCTGGGTGTGATGTCCAGCATCACAGAGAGAGAGAGAGAGAGAGAGAGAGAGAGAGAGAGAGAGAGAGAGAGAGAGAGAGAGAGAGAGACAGAGAGAGAGAGAGAGAGAGAGAGAGAGAGAGAGAGACAGAGAGAGAGAGAGAGAGAGAGAGAGAGAGAGACAGAGACAGAGAGAGATACAGAGAGACAGAGAGACAGAGAGAGAGAGACAGAGAGACAGAGAAGACAGACAGACAGAGAGACAGAGATAGAAGAGACAGAGAGAGAGAGACTAATTTTTAACATATGTCAGTCTTTTCTCAAATTATCATATAATTTCATTTAGGTTTCCATAAAAATATCAATACACTTTTAGAAGGAAGGAAGGAATACAATTATGCTTTAACATTCATATGGAATAATAAATATGTATGAAAATTGGCCAGAAATAGTCAAGAAAATTATGAAAAATGGAGGATTTGTCTTCTGAGATAATAAAAAAATACTGTAAAGATATTACAATAAAAAGATATGGTACTAACATAAGAATAGAAAAATACATCTGTGTACTAGAAAAACCAGGTCAGAAATACATACAAGTAAACTTATTCATGGAATTTCAGTGTGGAAGGAAAATAATGGTTTGTGTAAGAAACAGGGATAGCATAACTAGAACACAGCTAGACCAAGACCACTCACTATATAAACACAGGTCCGGAAGGGCCTGGATTAAATTAATTTTAACAATAAAAGCATTAGAAAAATAATAGGTAATGTTATATACAAGCAAGATGGCCGTTTACAACATACAGAAAAACAGAAAATAGACATGTTTTACAATAAAAATTATAAATTTTATGATAAAATAACCAAACAATAGATTAGGAAAAATGTTTGCAGCACTACTGAAGTACTAACATGAACACATAAAGACATCCTGCAACTGAACTGAGAAAAAAAACACGTAAGAAAAACAGGTTAAGGAAATTCAGAGAACAATGAAGTGGCCAGTTAACAAGACACACGTTCACGCTCACCAATACTGCGCAACACACAAACCAAGCAACTGTCAGACACCATTTTCCCCATCAGCCTTGCCACAAAATAAAAACAACAGAGACAGAAGGAGAGGAGATAAGAGGGACAGAACGCCTAATGTTGGTAAAGACTCGGGGAACTGGAAGGGCTCAGATATTGTGGAGTGTAAACCGCTACACATTTTATAAGGTAGGACAGCATTATTTATGACAATGTCAAACACAAATACGCTTTGACTCAGTAATACTGTTTTTGAAATGTAATCTACAGAAATAAAAAGCACATGCATGTAAGGATATTTAATACCACAATATTTTTAGTAGGAAACATTGTCCGGCCGAGCTCATTTTTTGCTGCTGTAAGCAGAATTCCAGAGACTACATCATTTATAAAGAGATGAGACTGATTCTGGCTCGTGCTTCCAAAGGTCTAGGAGCCCGGCACCATCAGCTCAGCTCCTGGTACAGTCCTGCTGGTAGGGAAAGGAACACAAGGCGCACACAGAAGAGAGGGGGGACCAAGGAGCCACCTGGCTCTCCCAGCCTGCTATGGGGAGAGCTGACAGAGCCCGCCAGAACCCTGTCCCCAGAGGAGGACACCAACACTGCTCCAAGGCTCCCACTCCCAGCACTGCACACCGGCAGTTAATCCTGATACGAGTTTCAGCAGGGACAAACCACTTTCAGACCACAGTAGCCACAAAGATACACATCTGTCAAAGCAGAAATGGCTGAGTGCACTGTGCCACTTCTAGATCCACAGGCCTGATATATCTAAAAGAGTGAATTCGATCTACACCTACTGGTATAGATATATATTATTCATTAGGAAAAATAAATCGCAAAGTAATTGATGAAGCATGACCCCCCCCCACTATGACAAAACAACCACAAACATAATTAAACTATATAGCCATTTAAAAAGGAGTTTAGGCTAGGTGTGGTGGCACATGCCTATAATCCCAGCACTCAGGAGGCTGAGGTGGGAGGGTCACTACAAGTTCAAGACCAGGCTGAACTACATAGGGAGACATTGCCTCAAAAAAGCAATGAATGAATGAATGAATGAATGAATGAGCGAGCTTGGGAAAGACCAGAAGGATAGTCACCAAACTATGATACTGATTACCTCAGAAGAATAGAAATGGGCTAATGTGAAGCCTGTGAAAGGTTTTGAGCAGAGTTGGCAAGACTGCATCTATATTTTAAAATAAATTAGACAATAAAAAAAGAAGAAGAAATAGGAGTTGCAGGGATAGGAGGCGGTTATAACTTTTTCTATAAATAATTTCAAATTGTTTAGTTAGGAGTATGAAGATTACTTAAGGGGAAAATTAATAAAATAATAAACATATTGGAGCAGAGAAAGAATATTGGTAAAATATGTTACTATAACCTATTTATTCATATGATTTTAATCACATTTATTGTCATATTTGTTTCTTTTTGATCAAAATAGAACAGGTCTTCCACTAACTGTTTTGAAAGTTATAAGCCAAATTAAAAAAAAAAAAAAAAAGCTCATGGGGGCAAAGAAACTTTACTTGAAACAATGTCCCCCTTTAAAATCCAAAAGCAAGCCTAGAACTTTCCCTCCTCCACAGCAAGCGCCTCCACTGCCCAGAATGGCTGGGTGCTGGGGAGCAGACCCACAACCCACAGGGCACCCGCTCCCTGGCCGGCTTCTCCAAATAGAGGGCACAGGGTCAGGAATCCAGATAAGAGAAATGGGATGTTTTGTAAATTATTTATTTTGTAAATTATTATTTGGATGGAAACAAAATGAAACAAAAGAGGAAAGGAGCAAAACAGCATCCATAACAGGCTCCTGACAGAAAGCAACTTATGCTTGAATCTGCCATTTCAAAATTGCCTGCTCTCCCCTGATGAAGGCTTTGCTTTTATTTCACTGATAATACATAATGCACTGAAGTAACTCTGCCCATTTTAACAGGCCTTCATATTTTGCAAAGCGTAGTGTGTGGCGTCCACCTCCCCCTGGTCCACTCTTGTTTCTAATCCATTCTCTAACAGCAAGAATCCTCTCCAAAGGCCCACCTATCACCTTGCCTGGCAACTGGCTATATCAGGTGCTCAATGAACACTGACTGAACTCATAAAAGTTTTATTGAAGTGAACTTAAGGCAGGGCTCAAATGTTACTGCTCCTCTTTCTGAGGCTCTCCATGGCTCTCTGTGCCTCTCTAGGGCACATTATCTGTGTTAGAGTCATCTGAGTCTTTTCCCTTCATGAGACCATGAGAAATTGAGTCTTATTACCTTGATATTTCCCACAGCACTCTGCATAAGGCCTAACACAGAGAAGGATTCATGAATAGTGCAGGCCAGTACACATAGAGGTAGCAGCCCTCACCCAGCTTGCTGTTCCTCCCGCTCTGTGGACCATAGCACAGGATATCAGCATCCTCATGGCATGCAAACATAACTGAGACTGCCCAAAAGAAATCAAGATTAGTGCGAATCCTGAGGTTCAGTGGCAATTTGTGGGTTAGAGGATGGGCAGAGAGGCCCTTATTTAAAAACCACAGAAATGGAATCACTAAGTGGTGCTTTAAGTATGTTTTTCTGTATTGTCTAGGAACATTTTCTTCCTTGAATATGTTCTAATTTTGTAAGCAGGAAAAATCCCCACAATAGACTCAAAAAAACAAACCAAGAGAAAATTCAGTGGGAATTTTAGACAACAAAATCACTTATCCCTATGTTTCCTTACTAGGTCTGAGGCTCCCAATTCAGGTCCCTCCCAGGCGAGGACCCTGCATTTTGTGAGCAAGCGTTCTCTCCACTGCTCTGAGGCACAGGGGACAGGAAGGTGCTAGGAGGGAGCCCTTCTCTCATATCAGCAGCTCTCGGCTCTCCCAGTGGGAACGCTGGCAGAGCTCTCAGCCCCAGGAGCTGGAGAAGAGCACAGGACTAATGAAGTAGCATAAGATCAGGACCTCACAGGATGTGATCCACTGCCTGCATTCTGTAGCCCCTATGCAAGCTTCTCTCGTGCAGTTTTTCACATGCCATCGTAATCATTTTCTCACCTGCCATCTCCCCTGATGCACAGAGAACACCACAAGACCGGTGGCTGCTTCTTTCTAATCATCCTATTCTTGTAGTCCAGTGCTTAATACAAGAAGGCTCACAACACATATTTGAACCCAGGGCTCACACAATGCGAGGCCAATGCTCTACCATTGTTCTATAACCCAAGCCCTCAATTCATATCCATTGAATAGCAGAGACCACACCTATAAAGTACTACACATAACTGATGCAGAACTCTGGGACACAGTAAGAATGCATTAGCTACCAGATCCTTCATTTCCTTTGTGGCTTAAGATCCATTATTCAGTCCTAAAGAGTCAAGTGGAAGCCAGTAATTTCTTGGAAGACTAACAAAGCTTCTTTTAATGTTGAGAAATGTAGGCTTTCTCCGGTAAGAATGGATGCATTTTAATCTGCAATTCAGAATCACTTGGCATCATAACTAACTGTAGCTTCCAAAGAAACTGCTCCTTGAAGGAATGATGCTCAGCGTCTTCATATGGCACTGCTGAAGGATTTCCAGGAGACAGTGAGCTCAGTCTTGGGCTATATTAATAACCTGTTTCCAAGGTGTATGTGTGAGGCATGCCACCACTTTCCTCTGGGAAATGGCAGTGCCCACAAGGCCCAAGCACCATCTTTGCAGAGCTTCACCTCCTCACTACCACCTTAGGAAGACAGTGAGTTTTTAATTATCAGCACCTCAAGATCTTGGAGGTCTGGGTTAGGAGAAAGAGGTGCCAGCTTCCTACTATCCAGGTCCATGGCTGCTTTTATGGTACCAACACTCTGCCTTCAAAGGGCTTGATTACTGGGGAAAGTTGCAGCTTTAAAATATGCCAAGGAGCTGTGTGAACTGTCCTCTAACCATGACCTTAACTCAAACAGTTACTAAATAACACATCCTCCTGAGGATTAGGGTTTCTCTTGGCTTTAAAGATAAAGGGCTCTGGGCTGGGGTCATAGTTCACCAAGAAGAAATAAAGCAAGGCAGGCAGGAGAGAGAGAGGGAGAAAGAAGAAGAGGAAAAAAGAAAAGGAAAGGGAAGGAAAGATAGATTGAAGATAGATACAGAGTAGATAGACAGCTCTTTGATTAACGCCCTGGCTATCGCCATCTTCTCCTTACAGCACTAGCAGTCACATTTAAGTCAAAAGAAGGCAGGTTAGGGAGGCAAAAGAAGGGATTCCCCTCCCCTCTTTCGCCCTCTCCCATGCTAAACTAGAAACTAGGAAAAGTAGGTTTTAAGTTAAAAATAAGATGTGCCAGCCTTTCTCCTAGGCCCTGTCACAGGGGTGAGCCAAGCAGACACAAAGACAGGTTGCCAGCGGTCTAGTGGAGACAAGAAATTGAAATTACACCAACATGTAAGCGCAGTTCAGGTAAACTCTAGAAAGCAGTTCAGGCTAATATGGGAACATATAGTAGAGATTTACTCCCAGTCAATGGAGTTACAAAAAATAATCCTGACCATCTCATGTGACGCAGGGGGCTGAACACACACAGAGTGTACCAGCAGGAGGGGATCAATAACGTATGCTTGTTTTCCTCTCTTCCTGTCTTACTTTTCCATAGCTGAAGTTAAGGGAAGAAAAGTTAACTGTAGCTCACAGTTTGTAGAGTTTCAGTTCATAGTTGGCCGGCTCCAAAGCGGAGGGGCACGGCAAAGGGCCTCGTGGAGAAGGCACTAAAGCAGTGAAATAGCGAAGCAGCAAGCAAGCAACAAATGGCCTACGTCAGTGACAGCAGCACCCCTTTCCTACAGATCCCACCAGCCTTAGAGCAGGTAGCACTCACACCCGGGGGGGGCACCCTTCATCCCGGCATCACACCCAAGTGTGCACGCTTTGTGTGCACGTGTGCACACACGTACACACAACCACTGAGACTTCCCCCCATCTTCAGTAACACTAAGGCTGGAGAAAAAACTTAATACTTTCAGTTTTATGGCCTCTTTTGATTGTCCTACCGATACCAGGTTTTAACCATGCTAGGATACTGAAGACCTAGGGCCAAAAAGGTCTGGCTGATGATTCATTCCAAGCTGAACATGGACATGACAAAATCATCTAAGTTTTGTCCTCTCATTTTGGGACAAATGAGGAAACTAAGATCTGGAGACATCACACAGTTCCTTGGGTGACTGTGGTAGTCTTTTCTTTTCTTCTTCCTTTCTTTCTCCTCTTTTTTTTTTTTTTTTTTTTTTTTTTTTTTGTGGTCGCAGGGGTCAAACCAAGGACTTCTCATATGCTGCCAAGTATTCTACCACTGAGCTACATTCCCAGTACGGCTTTTACTTTTCAGAGCTTAAGTATTTCTCCTTTAAGTGTAACTTTTCAAATATATTTATCCTGCCAAGAGGGGAAACAGGCCACAGCATCCTGCAAGCTGTCTCAAACCACCTAGAGCCTTCAGCTCTGGGCCGCACAGGGCAGGGTCCTGCGGCAGCAAGGCCCTTCTCTCCCTGCACAGCAGCTTGCTCCATCCCCATTCCTGAAAGCAGACACCAGCAAACATAATGCTTCTAGGCTTACATATTCTGTCTATTTTCTAGGCATAACGGCAAATTTAAAAAAAAAAAACAATAAAAGAATGACAAAGCCAAAGTTAAAGGTTTCTGCTCCTTCTCATACTGAAGTTCTTCACGCTGTTCCGTGGTCTGTGACACAGCAGCCTCGTGAAGTCTAACCATGCAAGTACCTGAAATCTACCATATCAAGTTCAAGTTTGTGGGAAGACTGTGGGGAATTTTCACTTTCAGAGACTTTTTTTGCAGGTGTACAAATTTTGCTACTATCTTTGAATTTAAAAAATGAAGGTTTACAAACTTCAATTTCTAAGAGAGGACTTACATCTTCACCTATATTTGGGGACTAGAACTGCTTTTACACCAGGTATGTGGTACACACCTGTAATTCCAGTACTCTGGGAGGTTGAGGCAAGAAGATTACAAGTTCAAACCTAGGCTGGGCAACTAGCAAAACGCTGTCTTAAAATAAAAATAAAAATTTTAAAAAGTGCTGGAGGTGTAGCTCACTGTGAAAGCCCTGGGTCAACCTCCAGGAACTGGCAAAAATAAATAAATAAATAAATAAAAATAAAAAGGCTTCTTTTAAAGCTCCAGACACTCCATCAAAGTTCTTGGGTTAAAAAAGTAAACCGGCATTAGAATGGAGCCCATCTGTGCCGAGAGGCTCCACTTCTAGCCCTAGGCAATTTCAGAGAAAGCTATAATTTAGAGCAAACTCACATATATATCATAATACAAAAATAGACCCTCTGTGACCAGCGGGCTGGAAAGCAAGCTCTCCAGGGAGCTCTGCCTCTCCCTGGTGCTGGGGCGGGGGGAGGAGCGTTGGTACAATTCTACTCACACAGCAAAGTTTCCTCCAAGTCCAGATGTCCCGTCACAAGTGAAGGTAAAGTTAAGAAAGCAGGATTCAAGATGTGTAGTGAGACCCACGCCGCCGGCAGCAATCTCTCTTGGTCTTTCTGTTTCTCTCTGTGTCTCCTAAATGAAAAGCACTTCGAGGTTTTAGTGGGTGTTTCCCACGTCTTGGGCCAAGTAAGTCCCCATTTGTTGTAATCCAATGCTCAGCCTGATGATGTCAACCACTCAACTCACTTGTTCAATTTCCACCTCTCTGTCCACGGGAGATCCATTTCCTTTGGACAATGAGCCAGGGGCTGTAACTCACCCATGCCCGTCACATTTGCCTAACATCCTTCCTTCAATTTTCAACCCCTGTGGCATTAGTAACAAAAGGCTTTCTATCAGCTCACTCACCGAGGCTCCCAGCATAGATCCCTCTGCTTTTAATAACTGATGACAAGGCTATCTAGTTTGCTGTGCTGTTTTAAGGTTGTTATATCAGAGAGAATATCTTCACCCTGCGCTGTGTTCATCTTTTCTCTTGTCTTCCCAACTCTCCAGGTCTTTACTTTCTCTAGTTTCCTAGGTAAATGCTAGGCAAGCACAGGAGTCTGTCCTCAGTAGGAAGATGACAAGACTCCAGGGAAACAGCACTAGTCTGTCATCTGAGGATTGGTCTTGGCCAACCCCTCAAAGCAATGAATGGCTTCAAGCAAGTCATCACCCAAATCTGGACCTTGGTAAGACGATGGCCTGAGTGTTTTCCCCTTCTAGAATTCCATAACCAAAACCATTGTGGGAGCTTACCCAGGTGCTGTGCTCCAAGGACAGCTCCTCTAAGTCCCTTTAGGATGGGGCTGAAATGTTTCTCTGGGAGGAAACTCAAAAGAATTCACTGAAACAGTCCCACGGGCTCAAAAAGAGGCAACATAAACTACTAGATAAGATAAACAAGAGAATTTAGCTGTCCTTAGGGACCCACAAGGAACAGCAGTGGAGAAGAAATAAAAACATCTTGCAGTGGCTGAGGGCGCTACAGCGTAGACATGCAAACCGCTCCACTCTTGAGTACAAGATCATACATTGATCACGAGTGTCATTCAGGAATCAAGATACAGATGTGTCCTGGGTGACTTATCTCTCCGAACTTCAGTTTTTTTAACTGTAGAATGGGATACATGGGCCTCCTTCTCAGAACTGTGAGGATGAAATAACACGTGTAGGGAAATGAAAGTATTTGGCATATACTGTACTAAGAACTGAATAAATAAGTGTTAACTCGCACTGCTGCACATTATCACGTCCGATTCTCAGAACCCCCCAGCAGAATTAGGTAGCCAGGCGCTATGTGATTAATCTCTCTTTCCCAGCAAGGAAAATGAAACAGAAGCTGAGTGACACACAGTTCAAAATGAAAGGGCCAGAATTAGATATTGAGACTCATAACTCCTAACTAGGTCACCACACATGCCAATTCTCTTTCTCAAAATGGTTATCCCACCCCGCCTGGAAAAGGAAACACTTCAAGTCTCTCAGTCGGAGGGGCACTCACTCACTTGGCTGCCAAAGCCCTGGGCGGCCTAAAGCCAGGCTGGCTTCAGCTGCCTTCCCCAAAAAGGGCAGATGTGGTATCTGTTAAAGTTATTTTGATGAGGACGAGAAGCTAAGACTGGAGCTCAGCTAGGAAAGCAGCTTTTGTCATGTTTTTGTTTTTTGGTGGTTCGGAGACTGAATCCAAGGCCTTCTGCATACCAGGCAGGTGCTCTAACCAGGTACTTTTAAAAATCTTAGAATTTTCTTGACTTTACTTGGCTTTTTGAGACAAGGTCTTGTTGTATAGTTCAACCTGTCCTGGAACTCACTACGTAGCCCAGGCCGGTCTCCAATTTGCAGTGATCCCTCTTGCCTCAGCCTCTAACATGCTGAGATTATAGGCTTGCACTACCACACCCAGCAAAAAAAATCTCGGATTTTGAGACAAGGTCTAGCTAAATTGGCTAGAATGGTCTTGAACTCTTGCTGTGATTTGGATCTGGGGTGTCTCCCAAAAGCCTCATGTGTTTGTCAGTTGATTGATTTGAGGTATTTTTTTCTTTTTTGAGACAGATTCTTCCTATATGTTCCAGGTGAGACTTGAACTCACTAGGTAGCCCAGGCTGGCCTGGAACTCACGGCAATCCTCTTGCCTCAGCCTCTGAGTACTGGAAATCCAAGCATGCACAACCACATCCACATGGAAGGTGACTGGCTCATGGGGGCGCTATGACTGACTTACTGTGAAGCTTGGTTGGAGATGGGTCACGGGGAGCTCCTCTACTGTGCTTTCGGGGTGCCTAATATGAGCAACTTTCTTCCCCACCTGACCCCTCCTGCCATTTCTGCATTTGAGCCTGCCCACCATGGACTGAAAGTTTTCAAACTGTGACCCGAAACAAACCTCTACTCCGTTAAATTGTAGATGTTAGATATTTTGTTTAGCAACAAGAAAGTGACTATGACATTCATAATCCACCTATTTCGGCCTCCCAACTACAGTAGCTGGGATTAACAGACCCGTACCAGCATACCCAGAAAAAAGCAGTTCTTTATAGGTGAGAGTAAAGCTGTGGCAGTTTATAACTTACCAAAATTTTTAATTAGTTCTAGAAAACTTTGGGGCTTATCAGGAAGGGCCCACGCAAACAGGTCCTTTTAAGAGGTTTTGCCAATGTGAAGGCTTTTGGGCAAGTGGGTAGACTGTCATGGAATAAAAACTGCCCGCCTGAAGAACAGTCCTCTCTCTCCCTGGCAGCAGTCAATAATTGGGAGAGACTAGCATTCCTTCTGGTCCCTGGGCCTTCCTCTATCTGTAGATGACCTTGGGCAAGCTGTTTAACTTCTTTGTACTTTGGTTTTGAGATTAAAATCTCATTAAGTTGCTCAAGCTGGGTTTGAATGGTGATCCTCCTGCCTCAGCCTCCCCAAATGCTGGGATTACAGGCATGCACTACCAAAGAACTTTCCTAAAAGGAAATCTGGCTGTGCACCACCGACAGTGGTACGGGTTCAATTTGAGGATAGAGGAAATGAAGGAAACTGATAGCTTACATGTACAGAACTGGTCCCCGGTGCTCAACACAAATCTGTCCTTGATTCCACACCCTCGCCCCTAGTCTGGCAGGGCTCTCTCCCCGCTCTGAATTTCCCCAGTACTATTTATCTCCTAAGAACCTTATCTTATTCTCCTCTGAGACATATTTCTATCTGGGCAGGTCTTATCCCTTCGCTAGAATTTGAGCTTCTTATGGAAAAGATCTGTGTCAATTTAGTAGTATTTTGTACATGATGTGAGACTTATTAGCATAAGAAAATCCACAAATGAAACACAAATTTTTCCTGAATGCTTACCATTTGCCAGGTAATGGCCTAGCTGCTTTTTCATAAATTACCTCATTTCGTCCCCACAGATCCCATGAGGAAGTTACAACTGTTACCTCCACTTGACACCAGAGCAAAGTGCAAACACAGATCAATCGAGTTACTTGTTCCACGAGTAACTGACAGGTACCTCTTGAAAGCAAGCATGTGAATGAATAAATTCTGGTTACCCAGACCCACTTTCTCAGATCAAAAGAGCTGCTAAACTGCAATTAACTCTTTGCCCTATCAAAGATAGGCTGCAGTTGTCATGACATTTCAAAATCACTTCTCCATTGCTATAAAGCTAGAGATTCCACGCTGACAAATGAGAAGCATGTTAGCTGAGATTCAAAAGACAGGTGAAGTTGGAAGTTCTACAGAACCAGAGGCAAAGACAGCAGGTTCTTTAAATTGAATGAACTGCTTGGGGTGACCTCGGGCTTTTTAAGAAAGTGGCCTCCTTCCTCTTGACTTCTTAAAGGCCCTCAGTCTAATTTCCAGTCCTGCTCGTACGTCCTAAAGCAAAGTGCCCCTTCCCCTGGTACAGAGAGTTCCGGAGCTTCTCAGGCAGGGTGAGCCCTATGTGGCAGACAATCAATTCCAGAGGAAATCAAAGCCTATACCCTAAAAGAACTCTTCCATTACTGATTATGAATGACCAAAAAATGTATCACAGGGCATCTGAAGAAAATCAACAGCATGACAAGAACTAAAATAAAGAGAAAACAGGTTCTATGAAGTAAAAGGAAATTTGGACAAATGAGAAACTTTAAAAACATTTCTCATGTCTTCAGAAATTCTGAAGATGCTGTGCCCATCAAGAACAAAGGGAATAAGGTGACAAAAATGAGCTTGTGGGCATTAACAACATGAATACTGAAATTAAGGACTGAGTGAAAGAACTGGAAATTAAGAGAAATCTTTTACAATATATGGAGAGAATACACAGAGGATAGCAAAGGATAGAGAGCAACAACCCAGGAAGTTTAACTTGACCCTAAATAGGATTCCAGGGAGGAGAAAAGAAACAACAGGAAATTATCTATGAAATTATAAAGAAAAATTCTCAATGCTAAAAGAAGGCATAATCTTCCCAACTGAAAAGCCTAAAAAGGGCTTAGTAGGATCACATTTAGACAAAGCCTCCTAACCTTGAAGATTTTAAAAGGAGAAAAAGCTAAAAATTTCCAAGAAGAACGGATTGTTTCAAAAGTAAACAATCAGAGCAGAGGCCGGGCATGGCGGTACATCCCTGTAATCCTCGCACTTGGGAGGCTGAGGCAGGAGGATTGCTGTGAGGTCAAGGCCAGCCTGAAATGCATAGTGAAATCCTGTCTCAAAAAGACAACAAAAAAAGAATCAGAGCAGTATCAGATTTCTTATCAGCATTACCGTTACATGAAACTGCTTTCTAAGGAAACAGTTTTTGTTGTACCCTAAGAAAATAGCTTTGTTATATGTGTATTATAGCAAACCTGTATAGGGGCTTACTAAATGTGTTTGTTTTATCTTTTTTCCCTAACTGATATGTTAAGGGACCTAATTGATCTGTTGAGCAACACTCTCCTCTGTAAAGAATTGCAAAAATCTCACCTAATTGATATGTTAACCATTGTTGCTCTCTACAAACTACAGAAGCTGTGCTAAAACAAGCTAACAAGGGTTGTTAATCACTGCTAGGAGCCTCTATTCTCCGCTAAAGAGCTAAGAAAAACTAGAATGGCAATTAATTTACATTT